TCAGGGATCTTCATATAGATTTAATTAAATGAGTCATATAGGTTATGACTTGCACTTAAATGGCATGACATCTTCAGGTGTCTGGACTACAGGTCCGATCCTCACAATCTTTTACAATATTGTGCACCATATTGTATCAAATATATCGTTGACTATCATTTTGTATCGGTTCCTAAGCGACATAACTTGTTGAGATCTCATCACTTTCTTTATTTTCAGGTCCCTGAACTTCTTCTGGAGTTTCATGAAATGTTATGTTGTGGGCTCTTCTAGAGCTCATTTCCTCCTCCTTATGATAAATTTGATCATTTGCTCCTATCATTTTTCAAGGATTTTTACCTTTGGAACCGATCGGTTTACTACACTTCATGCGTGCAATAAATATTATCCTTCATGGACTTTAATTTTAATAGGAGCATTTGCAGCTGAAATATGATATTTAATTTTGGATCAGCAAATGCTTTTGGCATTTGACTTGAATTATCTTCTGAGTGAGGATCATATTAATGATAATTCGATTCATATAGCATATTTTTCAGCTGTTTATTCCATCCCCCAAATGTTAGAAAAACTATCACATATCTCCAATCTTCTTTGGGAAACCTCTCTTTGTGTATTGTGGTAGAGAAATTAATCATATACCACACACCAAAAGTTATTAGATAGTAAAAATATTTGGTTTCTGATCCTAAACCAATTGTGAGGGGAGGACTTATCATATATTTTTGGTCTGATGCATATAAGTGTTGTATGCAATTTAGAAAATCTTAGACCAACACATGAGGCTTTGTTCCCATGAGCAATAGTTTAGCCTTTAATAGAAGGTATTCAATGCTAAACTAGCTTGGATATAAACCAACATATCAAGCTGAACTATATATTTTGATTTCGTAATCTAAAAATTATACTCTTAATTGAGAAAAGCAATTTCAAATGCCAAACTGCAGGTTGACAATAAACACACATGTAACCATCTCATATTGTGATGACTCAAAACTGTCATCTTTAATTTAAACGTTCATTTCTGTATTCTATGAAAATGTTGAGAGCTTACCTTCTATGAGTTACATATCACCTGAATAGTTGATGTTAATGGTGTTCCTTTTCTAGTAATATATTGCTTATGAGGCCACTGTTAGTATTATTTTCATATTGTGTTACGTTGATTGGATTATGTATGTGTTGTTAGGATTGGTTTTTAGGATTCTTTGGCAGGTGGATAAGCCCAGTTACAAAGAAAACTCTCGCAAAATATTTGAAAATTTTGGGAGTTAGAAAAAAATCGGAAAATTGAAATGGGTGAAAGAAGAGATAAGTTATGTTATGTGTTTGGAGGCGAACTCTACTTCTTATTTGAGAACTATTAATATGATGGATATCAATTGGATATGATAATAAGTGTACAAGGCATATTATAAGTGATGTAGGGTCTAAGGAGAGGCGTAAGTCTAAGTCAAGTTGAAAAATTTCATAATAGACTAAAGTTCCAAATGAGTACGCACAAGACCACACTTTGGACAAGAATATATAAACATATATAAGGATTTATATGATTATCAACCTATCAAATGAAGGGTCTTCGAGTTTAGTTTCTAATGCTTCAAACCGTTCGTCATTTAGATACTCGTACAAGAAGTTATGACCAAATTATCAAAGGCTGGAAAAAAGTGATTCTGCGGTCAGATGTGCGACTGCAGAATCATTATGCGAACCACAAAACCGATTGTGCAACCGCAAAATGGTCGCAGACCTGACCAGTGTAGCCCAGTTCTGGGCATCCATTTTGTGGTCCATTGTGCGACCCGCATACCCATTGTGCGACAACATATCTGAGTTTGGAGGGTCCATTTTTCTATTTTCATAACCCGACCCCATTTTGATAAATTGGCTTTGGGACTTATTTTGGGGCAATTATCTGATGATTTTAGAGAGAAGTGAGAGTGTTCTAGAGAGAGGAAGTGGATAAAGTGCTTTGTTCATCAAAAATCTTGTTCAAGCTTTGAAATCCAACAAGGAATTATCACAAGATCTTCTCCCAAGAGGTAAGGTTCTAACCCCTAGTCTTCAATTTCGAGTTTAGATAAAATGGGTGATTGGGAGTAGGGGTGGGCATAATACCGGCCGAACTAAAAAAACCGGTCGAACTGTGAATTTTGATTTTTCGGTTTTGGTTTAATCGGTTATTCGGTCGGTGCACAGTTTTAAATTATTAAATTTCGATTTTTTGGTGCAGTTTACGGTTTTGGTATTTCGGTTAAACCGAAAAACTGAAATTTTGGGTATTAGTTGAGAAAAATAGGTTTGAACATATGGGTTCTTTTGAGAGTCCAAAACTTATTACCCATCTGAAGGCTGAAGCCCAATAGTCCAATACCCATTTGAAGCCCACCCAATTTACCTAAACCTAAAACTTAGTCACTTAGTGACTTACTCTTACTGACTTACGTTCCCACCTTAGAATTAGAAATCAAAAATTAGATTTAGGGTTCCTCTAGTCCTCTCACCTCTGTGTGACTGTTGCAGTGTTGCCGACGCCCGACTGTGACGCCTTCTTCCTCAACTCGTCGCTCATCCTTCTTCCTCAGGTTAGTGCGACTTCTTCTGAGTTTCTTTTCAGTTTTCTTCCTCAGCTCATTTGATTTTGATGTAGATCTTGTACATTTTGGTGTACCTTTTAGAGATCGCTCATCAATTATTTGATGTAAAATTATGTTATGCCCTTCACTGGAAACATGTTCATTGGAAATTTGATGTAAAATTTTGGTGTACCTTTTAGAGTTCGCTCATCAATTTTGTGTTCTGTGCTCACTGGAAACATGTTTTGGTTGGGTTTTGATTGAATTCTGGTTGGGCTTGAAACTTGGTTTGTAGTTAGGCTTTATCTGATTTATAAATTTTTACCTGATTAAAAAAATATTTGTTATAGGAGTTCCGACCTTAATTCTGTTTTCATTCGATTTTCTATAAATGTCAGAAGTTAAAAGTAGAGTAAGTGAGGTGGGTTCATCTGAAAGCAAACCTACTTCTTCACCCAAAAAAAGAAAATCCGTACAATGTAGATCAACTGCTTGGGATCATTTTGAAAAGTTTAAAGATGATAATGGAGGTGATAGAGCAAAGTGTAAACATTGTGGTCGTGATTATAAGGCTGATTCACGATTGAATGAAACAACATCATTGAATACTCATTTAAAGAAGTTTCCAAAAATACCACAGAAAGTTGATAATACTCAAACACAATTATGTTTACAAAAGGATGGGGAAATTAATGGTGGGGTGCATTGAAAATTTGATCAAGAACTAGTTAGGATGGCTTTAGTTGAGATAGTAATTACGGAGAAATTACCTTTTAGCTTTGTTGAAAAGAAAGGTTTTAAGAAGTTTATGAGCATAGCCCAACCTTTATTTAATGTTCCTTCTCGTAGGACAATTACAAGGGATTATTTTCAAGTTTACAATTAAGAGAGGCTTAAGCTAATGAAAAATTTCAGAAAAGTAAAATCAAAAATTTACCTTACCACAGACACATGGACTTCGTTACAAAGAATTAACTATATATGTTTGACGGCTCATTTTATTGATAGAGATTGGGTGTTGCATAAAAGAATACTAAATTTTTGCCCTATCTCTAGTCATAAGGATGACGAAATGGCAAAAGTTATTGGTAATTGTTTGTTTGAATGGAAATTGGAGAAGGTATTCACTTTTACTGTTGATAATGCTTCTTCAAATGATGTCACGGTCAAAGAATTGTCTAAACAACTAGATATGTGAAAAACTAATTCGATGAGTGGTAAGCATCTTCATGTGAGATGCATGGCTCACATAATTAATTTAATTGTGCAAGATGGTTTGAAGGAAATTGATATTTTTGTAAAACGTGTTAGACAAGCTGTGAGGTATGTGAGATCATCTCCGCAAAGGACCTTAATGTTTAGGGAATGTTGTGTACATCAAGAGGTAGAATGTAGCAAAACAACGTGTTTGGATGTTCCTACTAGGTGAAATTCCACCTACTTGATGTTGGAAACGGCGCAAAACTTTGAGAAGGCCTTTGACAAGCTTCATCTTTTTTATGATGGATTTTCTACTCATCTTTGTAAGCATGTTTGTTAAGATCGAAATGTTGCAGGTCCATTTGTATGTGATGATTGGGTGAATGTGAGAAACATGATAAAGTTTCTTGAAAGATTTCACGAGCTCACTGAAAAAGTTTCAGGTTCACGTTATGTCACTTCTAATTGTCATTTTGAGGATATATGTGAGCTTGATAGTCATTTAAAAGCTTGTTTAGCTAGTGATGATACTAATTTGAGTAAGATGGCAGGGAAGATGAAAGAAAAGTTTAAAAAATATTGGGGTGCACCTGCAAAGATGAATAAAATAAGGAAAGCTTCTGTATTAGATCCTCATAACAAATTAGAGTATGTTGGTTATGCACTTGAGGAAATGTTCGGGGAGGAACCAGGGAAGTAATTAACTGCCGAAGTGGATGCTTATTTGAATTCTTTGTTTGGGGAGTATCAAAAAACATATTTCAAAAGGATGTTATCTTCAATCATCTCCATCTAAATCTACTTCATCTGATGACACATCTGATTCATCTAGTGGGAATGTGAGAACAAAATCTGTGAGAACAAAGCAATTGTTGAAAAGGCAAAAGGAAGACCCCGGAAGTGTAGGTGCTAAATCTGAGTTGGAAAGATATATTGGTGAAGGACAAGAGCTATTGTCTGATGATTCTGATGACCTTAAAATCTTAGATTGGTAGAAAATTAATGCTCCTCGATTTCCTATTCTTTCTGAGCTAGCTCGTGATGTATTAGCCATTCCAATTTCAAGTGTTGCATCGGAATGTGAATTTAGCACTGGTGGCCGCATTTTTGATTCATTTAGGAGTTCATTGACTCCTCAGTTAGTGCAAACTCTTGTTTGTGTTCAAGATTGGTTTAGATGTGAGGGTACTCCTATTAATGTTGAAGAAGATTTGGAGTTTCTTGAGCAAATTGAACTTGGTAAGATTTTGCGTTTTATGAGTGTTTTAGTGAAAATTAGTTTACTTTGTAAGTTTAAATGACACACTTTATCAAATTATATTTAGATATGGCAACAAGCGGAAGAGAAACTTGCATTGTTGAAAGAGATACTAGCATTGTTGATGCATAGTTTGAACAAGTGGTAAGTTTAAAGATTTGCTTGTTTTATGATATCCTTTTGTTATTTATAATTTAAAATATTTTATTAACTTGTGATCTTTTCTTTTTTTGTAGGTTCAACTATGCCTCGTGGTCCTAAAGCTAGATCGCCTATTTGGGAACATTTTGAGCTAGTTGAAGTAAATGAAGAAGCCCGCAAAGCAAAGTGCCTTCATTGTGGCCGAGTTTATAATTGTCATCCAAAGTATTATGGCACTTTTGGCTTAGTGAAGCATATTAAGAAGTGCCTCATGCCTCATCCAGTGATTCGTATTTAAGACTTTAAGTATTCTTTTCTAGACTTACTTTGTGGCTTGTGGGTTGTGACTAGTTTGCCATTGTTTTGTTGTTTGGTGATGGTATTTCTAGACTTGTTTTGGACTTTGGTAGCTACGATATTTGCCACTGTGTTTGCTGAACTGTACGGTATTTTGCTACTTGGATGTTTGAATTTGTTTATTGTTATATTGTGAAATCCTACTGTGCTCTGTTTGGACTTGAAAGGTTAGCTTGTTTGTGAAATCTAGTGATTCGTATATTGCTAGCTTGTTTGGACTTGAATGGTTAATTGTGATATTGTGAAATCCTGCTATTGTTCATGTTTGGATGCTACCAGAAGTTACAATGTTACATCCATAAAAGATAAAACATTATGCACACTGCCCAGTGGCTCAAGATGCAAAAACCACTCGACTGGAAGTTTATGACCACTGGAAGTAAATCGAAGATATAAAAATCTTGAACCGTTAATAACCGAAAAACTAAACCGGAAATAACCGAACCGAACTTTGAACAAACCGCACAGAACCGTAAATACTTTGGTTTGATTTGGTTATTAATATTACAAAATCGAAAACTGATAAAACAAACCATACTTTCATAATAACCGACCGAACCGACCGATGCCCACCCCTAATTGGGAGTGTGATTCTTGGATGTGAGAGTATTAGTTATACATGTTTGTACCAAAGAGGTTGTGGGAAGATTTTTGAGTTCAAACGGGTAAAGATTGGGTTGAAAATGGCAGAAATCTTCAATGATTTTAATTGAGGATTTGAAAGGCAATCCGATATCGGAATTTGATAATTTTTATATGGTTGAACTCGTATCGGAATGGGTGTTCATATTTTGTGAGTTTTTTGAGATTCGAGACGTGGGTCCTACTGTCAATTTTTAAAATAAATTTCAGATTTTATTCCGAAAGATTTATAATTTCATATGGAATTAATTCCTACGATTCGTGTTGAGTATATTGAATTGTTTGTGATCAGATTTGAAGCTTTGAGACACGAATTCGTGAGACAAAGGTTTATTGGAATCTTGAATTTGGTTGCGAAGCGAGGTAAATGTCGTGGTTAACCTTGACTTGAGAGAATAAAACCCTTGAATTATTTGTTATGTGAAATTCATGTGAACGACATATAGGCGAGGTGACGAGAGTCTATACATCATCAAATTAATTGTTTGCATAATTATTTAAAAATCATAAATTATTTTAAATCATAAATTAATTATTATATTAATTATTTCTCTCATATTCCTTGCTCAATATTATGCCTTGAATCCATGCTATAATTGCTACATGCTTATTTGATTTGTGTGACTTAATTGCTACTTGACATTTAGCATACTAATTATTAAATTGCATATTTTCTCCTTAATTTCCACAATTAATTGCTAATTGTAATCACTTATTTCTAAATAAATCATAATAGTTGTATGTTTGTTGTCTTATAATTTCATATTAATTATTGCATTTATTAGAGTAATTTATTTTATAAGAATTGGTAAATTATATTATTGGAGGAGCGGGTTGCACGCCGCAACAGAAATGAAAGTGAATATATTGAAGGAGCGGGTTGCACACCGCAATATAATTGATTGAGATGAATATATTGGAGGAGCGGGTTGCACGCCGCAACAGAATTGATTGAAAACATATATTGAGGATCGGGTTGCACGCCGCAACGAAATTGAATATGAATATATTGTGGGATCGGGTTGCACGCCGCAACGGAAATTGATTGAAATAATAATTGATTATGACTGTCGAGTTGGCTTCGACTTTTGAAATGATTTACTTGTTAAATTTCTATTTTTGTTTTCCTATTATTGTTATTTTACTATTATTGTGTACTGGTTAATGTAAGTGACCTGCCTTAGCCTCATCACTATTTCGTCGAGGTTAGGCTCGGCACTTACTGGGTACATGGGGTTGGTTGTACTCATATTATACTCTGCACTTCTTGTGCAGATACTGGAGTTGATCCTAGCGGCGCACAGTAGACTTGCTCAGATTCAGCTATTCGCAGGAGACTTGATGTATAGTTGCATGGAGTTCGCATTTCTGAAGTCCCCTTCCACTTTATCATTGCTGTGTATTTCTTTCAGACAACTTTATTTTCATTCAGACCTTTATTTGTATTATTCTAGTAGCTAGTGCACTTATGACACCAGTTCTGGGATGGTTTTTAGACATCGCTATTATTATGCATTAATCACTTTATTTCAGAATTTATTTCTGTATTTATTTCTTTGTTATTAACTAAATTAAAATTATTTAAAATGGCTAATATTATTCTAGCGTTAGCTTGCCTAGCAAGTGAAATATTAGGCGCCATCACGGTCCCGAAGGTGAAAATTTCGGGTCGTGACACATATATGCATCTATAAATGGTTCATATAATAGGTGAATGAGCCCATATTCACCTTTTATATATTCCAGAATTGAGGGGTCCTAGTCCCAACTTTAGCTGGTATAATCAATTTATTATGAGAACAAGCAACACTAGAGAATTCTTGAAGAATCTTCTAGTTCTTTAGTATATAATTATCTGAATTCTCAAACAGCTTATTTAAAAATAAAAATGAAAACTTCAAGTTTATCATAGCATGTGCTATCTCTTAGTAAGCTTCTGATTTACTATGGCATAAACTTTTACATTAGTAAACTTCTGATTTACTGTAGCTACTTTTATATCAGCGAATTTCTGATTTACTATAGCTACTTTTGCCTCAGTAAAACTTCTGATTTACTGTGACTGTTTTTGCATTAGTAAACTTCTGGTTTACTGTGATACATGATATAGTACAAATTGAAGAATACGGCGGGTAAATACTCACATACATATTATTTTACCCCTTATGATTGTGGAAACATGAAGATTTTCAATCTTCCAATCATTTGTAGTCTCAATATGATAGCCATTTGTATTAGTAAACTTCATATTTACTACAACATATGTTTTGACCATAATCATATAATACGAATGACATATTTGTATATAAGCTCTTCGTGAGCCTTCATTTATTATTCACAATCTAATATTTATCGGATACTACTGGTGGCATGTATCTTCTAGACAAGCAGCTAGCTCTTCAAGAGTTGTTGATACATTTTGTACTATCAAAAATTTCTCAGACACTTCTAGTATCATGAGAGAATATCATAATCAAATGAACAATATAAAGCCAATTCTAAATTTATAAATGACGACAATTAAGAATTTTAATATTTCTACCACTAACTATGTGACAAATATCCCTTCAAGGAGAAATACGATAAACATCTGAATATTTTGTATCAATGCGGCAACCACATAGTCATTGCATCATTTAAGGAAAGATATACGAGTTGTTATTTTCTTAGGGGAACTCAATAACTAACCATTAAATATTAATGTGGTTGTAGTTGAAAACATTCTACAAGAATACTTTTGCCTTAGAATGATACTTAATAAAATTATTCAAGATGTTTTACGTACAAAAGGTACGTGCAGCAATGATCTTTATGCCACAAAAAATAATATTTATATCCTATGTTATTCTAACTCTTCAGGAGGTGAGTTGTGGTATTTTATTTTTTCCATTTACTCCCGGGAATGAAAATGTGCTTCAAAAATAACTTTGAATAGCTCATTATTTTGTTTAAGCAAAAAAAAGACACAGTTTCATAATATTTTTCTGCTTCAGGAGAAAAATTCAATTGTTTTACTACTTCATGAGCAAATTTAAAATACGAAATATTGAGTATATATTCTCTCAATCATATTACCTCTTCTGGAGGTGAATTGTAATATATTTACATTAAGAGCGCGTTCATATTGACAAGATTTATTAATATTATCACATTCACTTCAGGGAGTGGATTATATTTATCAAAAATTCTCATCCTTCAAGAAATCGGACATAATTATCTGAACGCGCATTAATCACATCAAATTGTCATGCTTCAAACTCTTTTAAAATATTTACTACTTCAGGAGCAAATCGAGATGTGCATGTAATATAGAGAATATTTCTCTAGCTTATCTTTAATTGTAACCATAGAAAGCCTAAATTATCACTTCTGGTGGTCATAGGCATATACCACTTCTGGTGGTTAACAAAATTTAGTTACAATCAGATATACGAAACATAACCACTTCTGGTGGCTGTATATTTCTTGCAAACTCTGCTGGAGTTTAAGTGGATCTAACAATGTTATCCACTTTGTAATCCTTTAAGAAAATTAGGATGAAAACAAATACCAAAATAGGTACTGTATACGTAACATATAACCAAGCAAGCGATAATAAAGATATTAAAATATAAGCAAAAGGCTCAAATTAAATTACGCAAATTTGGCCACTCTAGATGTAAGTGATATCTACATCACTACTGTCAAGAAGAAAAACTCATCACCTTAAGGATATAATCCGCCTTATGATTCGCCTTGCATCGGAGATGAACTCATTTTGCACGAGCTGAAAGCTTGAACGACAACAGTTGCGGTCCATAACACGACCCCTCAGTGGCAATCTTGTTAAGCCCATAAAGCTGCATCTTCAACTCATTGTTAAGAACATCATCATTCTTTTTGGAATCCACAAATACCACCGCTGCACCGAATAGCTTTTCCAAATCTGTTCTCTCTATACGTTCCCAATCTTCTAATAACCCCTTGTCATCTTTCTCCACTAATACATCAGCCTTTTCCCATTTTCAATTTCTTGAAATTCAAGTTTCTCTAGAGTTTTTTCAACATAATACAAGGACCCAATTTCAAATTCCCGAAATTTTAGAGCCACATAACAATTCTTTTCACTTACTTGCACTTAAAATGGTAGAGTCTCGTGCTGATAACGTGTTATAAAATAAAGACTATAAAGTAGACAAACTGAAGACAAGTATAGAGAGAAACTGTCACGACCCGAAATTTCCCACCGACGGGATCGT